GTGCGGCTCTGATTGTGCGCCAGAGTCTTCGCGCACTTCAGCGTCAGCAACCACTGGCCTCCCATCACGACCACGACGGATTATCAGCACCCCACGAGCTTCTTGCCTCGCCTGCCCGCTCCCGGAAGCACCCATACCCACGTCGGGAGAACCGCCACGATCATCCTCTGACTCGATGTCGAACGACGGCGTCGCTAGAACCCCTTCGCCACCGCCGCCGTTCCCACCACCGGAACCGTCGTCTAATTCCAGCGAACGATCAGTAGTAGTGTGCGAAAGAGGGGAGAGATTACCTTCTTCGCCTTGTACGACCTCAGCCTCATTGATGTTAATGCTAGCCATGATAATAACTCGAATTCAGCAACAGCAAAAGGAGAATCGAGGTTGTAGAAGAAGGAGAGGAATCTCAGAGAAAGGAGGAACGAAGGAACAGGAAGCAGAGTCGAAGGAAACAAATGAGTCCCACTCTCCTACAGCAAACCCATATTTATAGTCGACCAAGGGAAAACGAAGGGTTAAAGCTACATAGGGATTCGTAACCGTCAGATCCTACCAAATCTTTTCGAATTTTTTCGAATTTCAAGAAATCCCCGCCCTAATAGCCCAATCATGCAGGGACACGTGGACACCTACCATCAGAGACACTAGTCGGCGACGCCACAAGTGCCGCGCACCGCCTGGGGGGCATGACACACCCGCGAGGAAGAAAAAACAACCCATCCCCAACTTAAAAGTAGCGCGCACCAACGAGAGAGCATGACTTACGAGCGTAGCTCAAGGTAACGCGCACAACAGGGGGGCATGACACACCAACTTCGACCGACGCCATCCTCAACCTAAAGATAACGTGCACAAGCGAAGAACCCCACAAAATCGAGTCGAGCGCACGCAAATCGAACGGACAGCACCAGCGGACCACTACCGATATGCACAGGATACGCGCACCATTGAGGACACGAAGATCACGCGGAGACCAAACAGGCCCTGACTCGCCCAGATCACGCCCATCTCAGTCAATAGCGCGGAAACAGACGGAATCGCGCAGATCCGAGTCAGCCACACGAAGATCAAACAGGTGGCATTCGCGGAATACCCCCTGATGAGGGGCAATTGTTGGGCATGTGACTCGGATCTCACCCCACTGAAAAAGCACCCAGGGATACTCACGCCAAGGTCAAGCGCGCGAGTCACACCAGAGTCAAGCGCGCAGGTAAAGACCACCCCCGGAGGCCGCGCACAAACACTAAACGACGACGCTTTGGACAGGCGCGGACCCTTATTGAGAAGTTGTAGAAGCGGCGCCACGTCACCCAACGGGTAGTCACCATCATAGTCCTAGGTATAGTTCTGCCTAAGTCAGGAGTAGTCACATCAGGGTCCTAAAAGCAGGGTCCTAAAAGCATGGCCTAAATTCCTGACATGTCAATAGTCATGTCATTGTACCCACATGTAACCCAACCACTCACCCACCACCATGTAGCCTATAAATATGGCATTTACTCCGGTGGATGAGGGGATCGGATTTTTCGGACTCTATCTCTAAAATCATCGACTTCTCTCTCTAAGATACTTCTCTCTGAATTCTCTTTGTAATCTCCTCAGTTCTTCCATCGACGATTATTCCCTTGTTGGCCGAAGTGGATTGGTGAACAGGTGAGGATAATTGGATCAACGAGCCAGCTACAAGAGTTGTTGATAGATTAGAGGTTTGAATTTGAGAGGAGTTGATTTGGAGTAAACAGCAGCTTTTGTTTTGAGTTTGATAGGTGAGTAAATAGCAGCTTCATATAAAGAGCTAGCTAATGGATGGTTTTCGTAATGTAGAAACTAAAAACTAAAAAGTGATTTTGGTATGTTTGTTAATTAAATGCAACGGGATATAATAAACAAACTTGGCAATGGAGAACGGATCATGTTAGTATAAGTGAGTAATCATGAGTAACCCGTTCACATCAGCATGACATCAGCATTTTTTTAATTTCTCACTCGTTTTAAATAGAAATTTAATTTTTTGCACAGTTAGATCAGATTAATTGTGATCTTCAAAATGATATCCAATTTGATATATTTTTCGAACAAAAAAAATTAATTCATTTTTTACCAGTCTATACCATATGGTATTGACTGGTATTGCAATAAGTGCATACCTATGGTTTGAAAAGCGTATCATGGTGATGTGAACAAACCAAGACTGTAGGATGATTGAATATATGATAGTAGAAGTATATTAACTGTCATTTACGGCTTTAACATTGTGTACCACAAGATACCACCCGGTACTAGGGTGGTATTGTATGATATTGAATGGTATTTTTTGGTCTTGTAATTTGTTCACCCAGAAATTTGTAGATCCAATAGATCATGATGAACTCGTTCCTTCTGTGCAAAAGTTTTCAAAAACGAATTAAAAACTAAGAAGATACCATATGGTATGCAGTTGGTATCGAGAGTCAAGAAATTTTTTTTCTCAAAAAATATTGAAAATGTATCTCATTTTGTAGAGCACAACGAACACGTTCCATCTGTGCAAAAAAAAAAAAAATTTTAAAATCCGAGTTAAAAACGAAGAAGAAATGAGTCGATTAAGAAATTTAGAGAAAATAAAAATGATCTTTAATTCTCAATACTTAGATCTTAATTCTCTATATGAAGAGTCCATATTTAGTTATTGATGCACCCGAGAGCAGATCCGGTGAGTAACCTTGTGGTGAGTAACCCCATGCATAACCCAATAAGAATCTGCCACATCAGCGCCTCCTTCTCTCTCCTGGAAAAATCATTAATTTTCTTTCCCTTAATATTTAACGGACGATGTCTCACTCGTTTTAACTCGGAATTTTTTTTTTTTGCACAGTTAGATCGGATTAATTGTGCTCTTCAAAATGATATCCACTTTGATATTTTTTGGAACAAAAAAAATTTGCCAGTTATTACCTGTCAATACCATATGGTATTGACTGATATTAAATAAAGCATACCATATGGTGTGAAAAATACCACCTCATACCAGGGTGTTATAGTATGGTATGGAGTTGGTAACGATTCAAAATGATATCCACTTTGATATTTTTTGGAACAAAAAAAATTTGTCAGTTATTACCAGTCAATATCATATTGACTAGTATTAAATAATAGCATACCATATGGTATGAAAAATACCACCTCATACCAGGGTGGTATAGTATGGTATGGAGTTGGTAACGAGAGATATGGAATTTTTTCCCCCAGAAAATTTTGAAATCCAATAGATCATGATTAAATCGTTCCTTTTGTACAAAAATTTCCGAAAATGACTAAACAACGAAGGAGATACCATATGGTATGGAGTCGGTAACGAGAGGGTTGCAAATTTTTTTCTCCAAAAATATTGAAAATGGATATAATTTTGTAGAGCACAACGAACTCGTTCCATCTGTGCAAAAAAAAAAATTTGAAATCCGAGTTAGAATGAAGAAGATATGATCCAATTAAGAAAACTAGCGAAAATAAATTCCTTTAATTCTCCACCCTTAGATCTGCAGTCACTTAAAAGAAGGGTCCCGATTTGGTTACTCATTGTTACTCACCCTATCTTGAGCCGATGCATCCTATCTTGAGCCGGCTTTTTGTCGTGGGAGGCCGGAGCGGTTGAAATTCTCCCTTCTTTCTTCTGGAACAGGAAACGGAGGTGATAATTTGCGTTGTTTTTTTTTCTGAAATCTTGTTTGTTTAATTAAAAAATTTAAAAAAACAAAAGGCTAAAAAATGTAATCCTAAATTTTAAGTTAGGAAGATTATAATAAAATCTAGGGCGATAATTAGGAACTCTAGAGGTCCGCTTCCGCGCCTCCCATCATAAGTCCCGCCCTAAGATCAGGTGACTAAGGGGGGCCCCTTAGCCACATGCCTAAGCCAATTCCAACCATTGAACCTTATTAAAATCTAATGGTTCAGATCTATCTAGTTTAATGAAGGGTAATGTAGTAATTACATAATTTATTTATTTAACAATTAGAAAAAAACATAATGTTATTCTTCCCTGTCAGTGCGGCCGTTTCGTTTTCTGGGAATTCTCCCGGCGGATCCTCAACCCACGCCGCCGTTCCCGGGGGAATTCTTCTGGCTGATGGGAATTATTTGTAACGACGGCGGGGGAGGAAGCTGAGGTAACGACGATGGCAGAGGAAGCTTCCGAAGGCGCCATGGATGATGGGAATTATTTGGGAATGGGAATTATTTGTTGGCAGAGAGAGAGCTTCCGAAGGCGCCATGGATGATGGGAATTATTTGAGAGAGAGAGAGAGAGAGAGAGAGAGAGAGAGAGAGAGAGAGATTTTCTGGTCGGACATTTTTTTCCGGCGACAGTGCTTTGTGATGTTTGTTGACATATTTTGTAATGTTTGTACGCTTTGTTATTTTGTAAGGTTTGTAAACTTTGTTATTTTTGTCAACCATGTTTGTAATGTTTTTTATGTCTAAAAAACAACCTGGTTGACTTTTGGATGGAACTTCTCTATATAGGGATGAAGCCTCCAAAGTCAACCCGGGTGTTTTTTCAGTTCGTATGGATTGTCGGTCTAGTTTGTCATTTTTGTCCACCATGTTCGTACTGTTTTGTATGTCTAAAAAACACCCGGGTTGACTTTGGGAAGGAGGCCCTCTATATAGGGATGAAGTCTCCAAAGTCAACCCGGTTGTTTTTTTCGTTTTGTATGGTTTGTATTGTTTGTCTGTCTAGTTTGTATTGTTTGTACAGTTCATACGTTTGTAATGTTTGTGAATCTGTTTGTATGTTTGGTCGCTCAAGTTTGTATTGTTCGTATGTTTGTATGGTTTGTACTGATTGTAAATCTGGTTTGTATACTTCGTAATTTTCCATAATATCCAAATTACCTCTGTCATTAGTTAAATAATCCTTCCCACTTTTTAACCATTGGATTGAAGTATCCAGATCTAATGGGTAGGAGGGGCTTATTCAAGTGACTAATAACCCCCTTAGTCATGGGATCCGCTCTCCATAAGTCCCTAATACAAGCCAACTCTCATATCTACAATTCTACATCCCACTCTTCAGTCTTCACTGACTCCACCGCACTCTCTTCCACTCTCAAAACGCGCGCGAAAACCCTTACGCAACTCATTCAACAGTCCAATCGCTCGAAAAAATGCCGGAGCTACCGGAGGTGGAGGCGGCGAGAAGAGCCCTGGAGGAGCATTGCTTGGGCAAAACTATCAAGAAGGCTGTCGTCGCTGATGACTCCAAAGTCATCGACGGAATCTCTCCCTCGGATTTACAGTCCGCTCTCGTCGGCAAAACCATAGTCGCCGCCCTCCGTAAGGGCAAGAATATGTGGCTGAAGCTCGATTCCCCTCCTTTCCCTTCCTTCCAGTTCGGTAATGCTTTTCTTTTTTTCTCTTTCGCACGGTTCAATTGCTTGATTATTTGTTTCTTCCTTGTCTTCGAATTGATCTCACGGAAAACTGTATTGCAGGAATGACGGGTGCCGTGTACATAAAGGGAGTGGCTGTCACAAAATATAAGAGGCAAGTCCGTTTACCCCATTTCCTCTGACATTTCTGAGCTTGAGATCTTTCAGTGGTTTGGTTTGCTTTCTGACTTAGATGGAATTAATGCATCTTCTTAAGTTTCCCGAGTGTAATCAGCAGAAAAGATTGTTGCTTTTGCAGGTCTGCGGTAAACGATACTGATGAGTGGCCTTCCAAATTCTCGAAGCTTTTCGTTGAAGTAAGAACCAGTAAACCGTGTCTCATTCTGAATACTCCCTCTGCTGTGCTGTCATGATTATCGCTGTATATGGCAACCATCAGCGAATTAACAACTGTTCTCCTATGCAGCTAGATGATGGTTTGGAGTTCTCTTTTACGGATAAGAGGCGGATGGCTAAAGTCCGTTTGCTCAATGATGTATATTTCTGTAGCTGGCTTTCATGTATTAAGGGTCATATGATTCTGATATAGTTTTAATCTTCTTTAGTTTTGAATTTCTTTTCCTTTTGAACAGCCTGCTTGTGTTCCCCCAATATCGGAGCTTGGTCCCGATGCACTTCTGGAGCCAATGACAGTTGATGAACTTCATAAATCATTGAGCAAGAAGAAGGTTGCAATTAAGGCTCTATTGCTTGATCAGGTTAAGTCCTTACTCCTTGGCGCTCAGCATCTTATCCAATATGCAAACATGTACAGCAAACCAACAAATAGTGGAAGTTTGAAAGGTGGCAAATTTGCGACCTTTGGCTCCTGTTTAGTGAGATAAATAAGAGGCTGCATGAGATTTAGTGCCTAGATATATCCCTAGTATATTATCCCATGCTGTTTTTCAGTGTCTAGATGAATTGGTAGTGGCCCTATCTAATGTTGTAGCCTGATTGAATAGTCTTTGAAGGTACCTATTGTCTGAATATACATCTTTTTGGTGTCCGAAGGCTCTGCTATATTATTGTTTAAAAAGACTTTTAACTGTAGTAATGATGGTACATTATCCTTCATTCAGGTTTTTATATCTGGAATTGGCAACTGGATTGCAGACGAAGTTTTATATCAAGTATGTATGCCCTTTGCAGCATCACTGGATCTATCTTTCGCGAACTTTGCTGCATAAGTCTTCATGCCACTGCTTAATGCAACATTTGCAAAAGCACGGTTATTTTATTTCCAATCTTTTTCAGTCTTGGCTCAAATGAAACATCTAAAATTTGTGAATTTGTCTCGCAGGCCAGAATTCATCCTCAGCAGATTTCTTCGAGCTTGTCTAAAGAATACTGTGCAACTCTGCACAAGTGCATCAAGGAGGTAGGAAGTTCGTCCCCATTACATTTTGATTTCACTACGAAGTTATAATAGATAAATGTGATGGTTTATAAAAAAACTAGGACACGTTTGTAGGTTATACATTATGCAGTTGAAGTTGATGCTGAATCAAGCTGCTTTCCACTTGAATGGTTGTTTCATTTTCGTTGGGGCAAAAAGCCTGGAAAAGTTAATGGTAAGATTACTAGTATTCTTCCCCTTAACAAAACAAAATGTTCTCTGACAGGTTATTGAACAAGCAGTAGAAGTTGGGGCAGACAGTAGTCAGTTCCCTAAGAACTGGATATTCCATTCACGTGAAAAGAAGTCTAAGGCTTTTGTGGACGGTTTGGACCCTGACCCTTGCACAACTTTTAATCTCCTAAGGCATGCAGTTATTAGTCTATTTATTGGTGATGTTGACCCCAAGATTGAACTCAAGGTGGATTGGGTATTTTCATCCATGATTAGCACTAAATGCCATCTAAGCAGTGCACGAATGGTCCACCACTGAATTTATTTCCCAGTTGGACTTGAATTAGGTACCCTAGTAAGACTGAGCCCCTAGATGGATTAATAGCCCTTATCTAGGCTGTAAAGCTTTGGTCTCTGAGTTATATTATTCTAGATTCTAACTAGTTTAGATTATAATTTCTTTATCCTTGGTCCATTTGGATCAAAGTATCTAGTTACTAGATGGCTATAGACCTTGCTCTCGATTGTTAAGAACCATTTCATCCCACTGATTTGAGTTTTGGGAGATTCACAGAAGTCTATTTGCTATTGCAGGGAAGAAGATTGAGTTTATCACAGCTGGAGGGAGGGTATGCCTATTCTAGTACAAGCATTATGATGTCTCTTTTTGTTTGTTCTTTAAGATGGTCAAATAAAGGGCCATTTGTTTCGTTTGTCATCAGACAACTGCCTACGTACCGGAATTGCAAAAGCTAACTGGAGACCAGGCTGGGAAAGAGCAACCTGCACCCAAGCAGAAAGCTCCTAAGAGAAAGAAGGGAAAAGATGATGATGATGATGACGGCAATGATGGTGAAAAGGAATCAGAAAGTGACGAAGAGGAAACTTCCACAAAGGCCCAATCCAATAGAGCCTCGAAAACCAGAGGTCGTGCTAAGAAGACTTCTGCAGACAATGGTGGTGATAGTGATGAACCTCAGAAGAAGACACCTGGAAAGACGATCAATAGCAAACAAACTAAGGCCGGGAAGAAGGCATCAGAAGGCAAGGCCAGCAAGGAAAATGGCAAGAAGCCAAAGAAGACTGCAGCTTAGATCATGTTATAACACACTGAGCTGGACCGGCAAGCACTTTTGGCATGTAAAAAATCTAGGTCTTCTTTAGTTTTATAAGCATCTGTTTTTGGCAGTCATGCTTATGAGCTCTCCAGCAATCCCTGTTTTGAGTTCGTTTTAGTAGGTGCTGATGGCTTTCGTGAATGGCGAGTGACTGTAAAAGGGCTCATTTTAGACTCTGCGTGTTTTAAGAACACTAGAATCATGTGGATCTTCAATCAGTAGTACCAGATGGTTCAGCCTTTCTCTTGCGGAAATCCTTTACAATCAAAGGCGAAATCATAAAAACAAAAGTAAAACAAATCGACGTATGTTTATTTACCAATGCTGTACCCTTTTGTTTTCCTCTGTGTACCTTCCTTCCCTTATATTGCCATCCTGCAACATCCAGAGCAGCAGCAAATTCAGACTTCCTCCTGGCTATAGAATGTCCTGTAGGAGCATATCTGCCACTTTTCCAGTTTCAGCTGCGAACGCCCAATTTCCTCTATGATGTAATACGCAGCACCACCAGTGCCTCGATGCATTTCAATGTTTAATAAAAGAACTGCCTCAGAGCTTCAATAATTTTCTCAGGCCTGTTTTTCAGCCAAGAAAATCGGAGTAAGCTGAACCAGTCAAAAAAGGAAAAAAGGAGACTAAATCCAGAAACTGATTTACCAGTCTTCTTGTGGCATGTGCCCAGCTCCTTCAATCAACTTAAGCTTGATGTTACCAGGATTCCCTTTCCGGAACTCTTCTGCCACAGACTGCGGCAGATGCTTATCCGCCATTCCCCAGGCAACGAGTATTGGCTTGTCCCAACTGAATCATGAAGAAAAAAGGCTCAGAGATTTTTTAAGTGTAGAATGCCATGACATCAACTAGAGAAGCGAACCTGAAGGATGATATGTCATAGAGAGAGAGAGATATCAGACCTTTTAGAAGTCAAGCCACTGGCTACCTCACTTAGAACATTGTTGAAATTAATTTTCCTTGCAGCCTCCAGCAATGCTAAAAACAGCAAGAGAAAAAGCTCGAAAAGCTATCATAAGTAGCTTCATTTCTACAGATGCTGGTCATAAAACCATGTACAAAATGAAAGACAGTTACAAACCGAATCCGGGTCCACCACTGCGGAGGTATGGTAATCTATAGACATCAGCCTTCTCTGACTTCAGAACATAGCTGCAAAATAACATAACCATCTCAGTCTACAAACATTTTTTGCTACAAATTGGTCATTTATTCAAGACGAACATACAGTCAGAAGAACTAGCACATTGAATGCAGTGAACTACTTACGACTTCTTTTCCCAGAAGAAATATGTAAAAAAAGAACCCATCTTTGTCTAAACAAGTAAGCAAATTTTAACTGTTCCAACACCCAAGGTGATTGATTATAATGTCAGCGTAAGCATAAATCCAGAATGGATTTCATTTGTCTCATTCACTAACGAATACGCATGATTACTGCAAAGTAGTGATGCATTGTGGTGGATACATACGGGCTACCTGCTTCAATAAACCGCTCAGCGATGATAGCATTCTGGCAGGTGAATTCACCGAAGAGTGGAATCCTGCATCAAACAAGCAGCAAAAGAAAGAAACGAAGGAGAACCAACCATGATCAGTCACCCTAAGTGGCTAACAGCGACATTGATGAATGATCAATTCATCAGTACGACGATTTACCTTAGCTGTTTAAGTAACCCAGGAACAGGAGATGAAACAGTCAGTGGGGTGTTGAGAATTGCGAGTTTCGATATCTTGCTTGCGTTCTTCAAAGCCCAAGTCAATCCATAGGAACCTACAAGAAATCCCTTGGGAGAAAAAAGAGCAAGAGAAATATAGCTACATGTTTTAGGGTCGAATCTAGGAACAGGTCCTGCTGAACATTTCAAACTTGGAGAATTGCATCAAATGCAAACATGATTCAGCCAAACCTGAACAACAAGGAATACAGGAGTTTTGACTTTCATTTCTTCAAGCAAGTCATCCAAGGCCTCATGGAACTCCTTTTCTAAGATCAATAAAAACATAAAATATACACTAAAATGACTTGGAACACAACACCATGATTCATTCTACAACAGCACACAAAAAAAAAAAAAAAAAAAAAAACACCTGTATAATCAAATCCGTATCCAGGCTGTGGCATGTCACTGAAACCGAATCCAATCCAATCCGGTGCCAAACAATGGAACCCGGAATCCGACATCTATAGCAGCCAAACATTCAGCAGATAACTCATGCAATCAAACAACTATAGTATCATACCATGAGAACCCCGATAGAATAACAAAGACTACACATAATAGAACCTGAGACATAACAACTCTGTAGCTAAAAGATTGTGTTGGAGCTCCATGGAGGAAGAGAATTGTTCCCCTTCGAGTATCAGGCGATCCTAACAAACATAGAAAGTCACAAACTTTCACTAACCCAGTCATTAAAAATGGAAACAAAAACACTCCCAAATTGTTTCATCGATCAATGGTGTCCAAATTCCTCACCAGTTTCTCTGACAAACCACCTCAATCTCTCCCGCCCTGCCACGACGTACTTCCCGAACTCCCTCCCCTTGTCTTCTATCCGCTACCAAATTTCTCGAAACATAAAATTCCATCAATTTTACGGAGAGAAACAGAAAGATTGAAAGCCGGTGGGTGGTACTTACGTAGAGCATCTGGCCGACATTTCCATCCTCGGCAGGGACTTGAGGGAGCTGAATCGCTGCTCGACTGGAAGGGTTATCGGTAACGAATCCAAAAGGGTTGAATCCCGCCGTCGCATCGTCGTCGTCGTCTTTGGGATTCTGGGCGGTGCTCGCTCTGACCGTTAAACTCCTGCTGCTGCTGATTCTTGTTCTGATTGTGGTTGCAGTTGTTCCTCTGTTACTGAAGTCCGCCAAAACTTGAGTTGTTCTAGTGGGAAGTAAAAGAGAAGAAGAAGGCAGGAGAGGAGCCGCCAAAACCATTTTCTGCGGTGACTGTGTGGGAAGGGAAATGCAGATTTCAGAGCATTACAATTGGCACTGGCTGGAATTTTGTGGACGACGGTTTTGGAGGGAATTCCTGTATTTTCTATCACTAACTTTCATTTCTTGCCATACATTTCTTTTCTGGATCAATTACACTGACAGTCATTGAACTTTTGGACCACTAACGTATGGGTCACTAAATTTTCGTTTTCAGAGAATTTGTTCTGAACTTTGAAATATCTAATGAAGTACTTCCTTTGCTTATATCATCATCGAAATTTTCATCCGGACAACGGGACAACCAAACTGCTGTTGGACTCTAAATCGGTAGGTGATTTTTAGCAGTATGAAATGGTTGAATCACTATTCCAGCACAAAATACTTTACCACTTTCAGTATGGATTTAAGTAGGGATTTACAATTCCTGGTGTAAAATCAAGAATTTGAGATTAACTAAATCATCTATGCAAGATAGTCAAGGCCTATATAGCTTATTATTATTTATTTGGGTGAGTTACTTTGTTGATAAGCTAGACAAAGAATCTAAACAAAGATGGCCATGGTCTGTTCTGCAAGTTACTCCAAAATAGTGTGAAAAATAAGAGTCTAGTGACTCCAAAGTTCAGTGACACATTTATATAATTGACCAGCAATAACTTATGTTCTTTTTACAATGAGATAAATTGTGAAAACACATCAAGAAATTATTTATGATTACAACAAGAACTTGCTTTAGTATACCATGATTGTACATGATCCGTATGCTATTTGGGAAAGATTACATCAGACTGCATTTCTTATTCACAAAAATAAGAGGAATTCCATTCCTCTGCACTGAAGAGAACAACAGCAGCTTAACCGACCGACCCTTCAAGCTTTAAACTCATCAACTGATTCACCTCGGCCCCAAATTCATCAGGAAGCTCATTAAACACATCTCTGCAAAACCCAGAAATCATCGCAGCCATCGCCCTTTCATAGTCGATTCCCCTCTGTTGGAAGTAGAACAGTTGATCCTCCCCGATTTTGGATGTGGTGGCTTCATGTTCCACCCTAGCTGTGGGATTCTTCACCTGCAAAGCAAATCATCACCTTTATGAAGCGTAACTCAACCATGGGAGCAAGTGAAGCTGGCTTCTACCATAGCAGGAATGAGAAAGGGGCAACAAACTCATTCCACCTAGTTTGCCAAAGCATCAACTGCCGCTCTAGCACATTATAAAGCACAAAAGGCAGTGGCAGAAACGGGGTCGAGAACAAGATAAAAAAATGCAGTATCATCGTCGGAACAAGTGAACACAGAAAATTCGATAAAAAGTTACTGTGACAAAACAGTTTGGCTTCCTTAAGGAAGGACTTGGTCAAATAGTTGAATGCATTCCTAAACCACCTCTAACCTTCCACATTGAATTTTAAAAACAGAAAATTTACTGAACTATGCAAGTTTTGGTCATGAACGTAGCTTCATAGTTACAGTCTTGTAATAAATGAGAAGGAGCTGGCAACCAACAAGGTGAATACTGGTCAAGCTTGAAACATTTGAAGCATATAACAAGTTTCAACAATGACCACAACAGCCTCGCATTTGTAATTTGGAGACAATATCCATATAAGAAAAAAAATTGGAGACAATATCTACTTTTAGATGCCAATGGTATAGATATCACAGAAGGGTAGCGCTCACAATACAAAATTGTTTTAAAGCCAGGGAAGACAATACAACTATACAAGTCCAACGTGAAAAATAACAAACCCAAGAACTGCACCTGGATATAAGGATAGGTGTTGGCAGCAGCAGTATCACCAATAAGCATCGAATCACACTGAGATGAATTCTTGGCATTTTCAGCTTTTGACAGAACCTGAACAAGCCCTCTATAACAGTTTCTCGAATGCCCCACCGAAATACCTTTCGATATAATCCGACTCTTTGTATTCTTCCCCTTGTGAATCATCTTAGTCCCAGTATCTGCCTGCTGATAATTATTGGTCAAAGCAACCGAATAGAACTCCCCCACAGTGTTATCACCTTCCAAGATCACACTAGGGTATTTCCAAGTAATCGCAGAACCTGTCTCCACCTGGGTCCAAGATATCTTAGATCGATCCCCAGCACAAATTCCACGCTTAGTAACAAAATTATAAATCCCACCTCTCCCTTCCTCATCACCAGCATACCAATTCTGTACAGTGGAGTACTTTATCTCAGCACTCTCAGCACAGTACAGCTCAACCACCGCAGCATGAAGCTGGTTAGTATCATATGAAGGTGCGGTACATCCTTCCAAGTACTCAACAAAACTCCGGTCATCAGCAACAATCAAAGTCCTCTCAAACTGCCCCGTTTCAGTTGCATTGATTCTAAAGTAGGTGGAAATCTGCATAGGGCACTTCGTATCTTTCGGTATATAAAGAAATGAACCATCGCTAAACACTGCAGAATTCAGAGCGGAGTAGTAGTTATCCTCACTTGGCACAACTTTACCCAGATACTTCTTCACCAAATCCGGGTACTTCTGTATAGCCTCAGATATCGAACAGAAGATCACACCAGACTTTTCTAGAGTCTTCCTATGAGTTGTAGCTATGGATACGCTATCAAGAACAGCATCAACAGCAACATTAGCTAGTCTATTCTGTTCATTCAGGGGAACACCCAATTTTTCAAAGTACTTAAGGAGCTCTGGGTCAGCTTCATCGAGGCTATTCAAAGTGGGTTTCTTTTTAGGAGCTGAATAGTAACAAAGATCTTGGAAGTTAATCGGTGGGTATCGATTATCAGACCAATTGGGTTCTTTCATTTCCAGGAACTTCTCGAAGGCTTTCAGTCTGAAATCAAGCATCCAGTCAGGTTCCTCTTTCAGCGAGGATATCAACCTGATTGTTTCAACGGAAAGACCCTTTGGGATAGCGAAGGAGTCGATATCCATTGTAAAACCAAACTTCTTCTTGTAATCGCGATTGCGAAGGATTTCCTTGATTTTGTCATCGGAGCTAAGCGTGGCAGTTGAAGGGAGGTTACCTGAATCGGAAGTGATGGTGGCGTTTGGATCCAAACTGACATCTGCTCGGACGTTGAGGAAGTTGGGCGTCCTGGGATGCCTTGAAATTAGGGTCTTTGACGAAAAGGGTTTGTGGAGCTTGGGGGAATCGGTGATGGGCTGCGAAGGGAACCGAGAGATGCTGTTGGCTAAGAGAGACGCCATGGTAGCTGTTGTTTGGGAGCTTTTGGTGCCTCAGAGAAGCTGCAGCTGCCAGCCAGGAAAATGTTTGAGGTTGAGGAAAAAGAACACGAGTTCGTTGAACTTGTGGCTCGCACACGTACCCATTTTTGCCTCTGACATTAAAAGGATAATTAATTCTGCCGGCCATTATTGACTTGACGTTTTTCCTTTTAATGGATTAATTAATTAAATTTGTTTTGGTTTTATTTTAGGAAAACTTGTGATTTTATGGGATTTTTCTCAAAGTATACACGTTTTTTTTTAAATTCTCAAAATACACACGTTTTATGAAATATTCACAATCTACATTTGTTTGTGCAAAACCGCGGCCGTCAGATGCGGTGACCAGTATCACCACGGTCGTTAGAAGCGATCAACCCTTCACCGCGATTTTCGGAAGCGATGAATGCTTCTTGGCCATACACCGCTAGTGTCCCACGTGGTGATGGTCTGATTACTTAATTAGAGGCGAAATAATGAGAGGCGAAAGAACACCGCTTGAGAAAAGCCAGCGGAGAACCAATAGTGTATGTGACTAGAGAAATGAATATTCTACCTCGACTCGGATTGGGGAAAAAATCCCTAGGTTGGTGTCAGATCCCGATGGCCAATTTCGAGTTGTCGCCATCGTCGACAAGGCACTCGGCGATGCGAGTGTTGTGCAGGTGCTTAGACGCTGCCCTACCCTTCTGCAAGACGGTGTTGGACGACAAAACCTTGAAAATTAGGTTGTTGTTTTAGGTCCCCGGCTTCAGCTGGTCGACTTTCACAAACACCGGCTTATTCTTCTACACTACCACCCCCGCACCTTGTTGCTGCTGATTCGAGTTTACAACGGTCGCCATTTGTTTCGAATGCGCTTGATTCAGAGGTCCTTAGTTTATCTAGAAGCTGGAAGCAAGTTGGCGAAACAAAGTGTCTCTCTTTGGGAAAGGAATGGAAAACCCTACATGGATGGAAGGAAGGTAAGGTTGGAGGGTCAAAGGTTTTGCCAATTGGTATTCCTCTCTCTCTCTCCTCAGACCAACCCATTAGGTTGACAATAACGAGAATGGCCCTCATGATAACGAGAATTCCCAGCTTCATTGCGAGTACGTCCACATTGAGCCAACGTTGGACAATCAGCAATGAGATGGCCCTCGAGCTTGCAGTAGTAACAAGTATTACGTTTCTTACTGTGAAACTAGATATTGATGCCCTGATTTAACGACATAGGTTGTACCAAGATCCGATGCATGAATGTCAAGCTTAACTTGACTCTTCAACCTTGTCTCCTCACGCAGAAGTTCGGGCAAGACAACCTCGATGGTGGAGTCGTGGAGACACCTCGATGGAGCAGGGAAGCTCTAATCCCCTAAAACTCAGGCCGGAGGTTCATGAGAAAGTGCATAACCTGATAGCTAGCTCTCTCTTGAAGAACCTCTATAGAAGCAGTCGCCGAAACAAGCGAACTAGTGATCCGGTTGTGTTCGATCCAAAGCATCATGACCTCTTGATAATATGAGCTAATGTCCATGTCCCCCTGCTTCAAGGCAGCCAAATCAAACTATATGTCATACTTCCGAGAAGCACTAGCCTTGGAGTACAATTCGGCCATGTTTTTCCAAATCATAGCCGTTGTGGGAAGACCATGCAAGTTCAATGCAATCCCAGGCTCCATAGACCCCAACAACAAAGACATAACAACGACATTATTAGTTGCCCAATCTTCCCGCTCCTTGGAGGCGGCATCAGCCGCAGGTTGAGGAACAAACCCATCCAGAATCGAAAACATACGTCGACCTTGCACATGGAGACGAAATTGGAATTCCCAAAGAGCGAAATTCTTACTATTAAATCGAACAACCACCGCATCAAGTTTGAAACTCTCCATATGTTAGTGAATGGTATATGATCCACAATTGAACCTCTCCCAAGTCCCAAAAACTTGAGTTATTTGGAGCAATTGGTTCTTTACATGGTATCATA